CCACTATGTGAAAGTTTAGTTGGGTCCAATCCAGGATACATGTCCAGGCTCATTTGAGTAGATAACTCCATCAAGGTAGTGACAGCACCACCCAGGACAAATTCCTTGACGCCAGACAACTAGCCCCAAAATACTAAAACTCATATTGACAGATCAAGATCAGGCAAATACTAATAAACCAGCCAAATAAATATAAAATAGCCATACTCTCCAACCACAAACCAATGCACAATTGATAATTGTTGAAAACAACCAAGTATGGCAAGTGTATTATGAAAGGAAATTGTAATTAATTAAAGACTGTAATTTTTCAATAACTGGTAGGTTAATTTTATTTCCTTACTTAGCAGATTGGTTTTCCTTTTTCTTTCCATCTCTTGTAATATAAATAGGTTGTTTAGGGGATGTTATTCATCATCAATATACAGAAATTTATTCTGATTTTCTCTAGATGGTATCAAAACCTAGGTTTCCCTAACCTAGCATACTAATGGCGGAATTCACCACCAACAGCCAGGAATCCACAGCCTTTGAGACTTCACAATTCGAAGCACAGGGCAATTCTTCTTTCAGGCCCAAATGGACTCGAAAATACTCCCTTCTGGCTCACAATGGAGAAGCTGAGCGGAAGAAACTTTCGAGAATGGGCACAATCCATAAAATTAGTGATTGACGGAAAAGGGAAATCGGGATATCTTCTCAACGAGACAAAAAGGCCGACTGACGTTAAGCTTTTCTCAAGATGGAATTCAGAAATTTCCATCATAATGGCATGGCTTTTGAATTCCATGAAGCAAACCATTGGAAAGACGTACCCCCCTTCCCATTGCAAATGATGTCTGCAAGACCGTAAAAGAAACTTACTCAGACTCCTCTGAAGATTCTTCTCGCATCTTCAAAATCAAAAATCAATTATGGCAAACAAAACAAGGTTCAAGAAATGTTATGGACTAATACATGGAGATGGTCTCTCTGGCAGGAATCAGACCTGAGTGTCAATGAAGAATGGAAAGTGCCCAGAAGATAGCACTCTGTACTGAAAAAATGGAGCAACTGTATCAAACGTTGGCAAGTCTTCCAACATCTGGTCAGTAGTTCCCTAAAGGTCCTTGTTCACTAGCCCACAAGGGTAACTTTCTTTGTGCTTTAAACACCTCATGATATAAAACCGCTTGGACTCACCCAACCACATGACGGAGTCATATTACCTATTCTCTTCATATTCTACCTGCTCGGGAAACATTAAAGTAAAAATTACAGATAGCTTACTCTAGTCTATTGTCGAAAAAGGGAGTATTCGAATCTTTGAGTCCATAACACTGGAATCTATTCATGTCCCAAATTTGTCATGTAACTCATTATCCATTAGTCAGTTAACCAAAAATTCCAATCGTTTTGCTACTTTCTTTTCATCTCACTATATATTTCAGAACCTACCATTGAGGAATACGATTGGCAGTACTAAGGAGCATGAGAGATGTGCTACTTTGAGGAAGCTGACATGAGTAAACTAAGTCAACATTTAAGCTATAATCCTACATCTACATCCAAGGATTGTGAAATTTTGTTATGGCACAATAGAATGGGTCATCCTAGTTTATAATACTTGAAAAGTGGTTTACCTTCCATTTTCGTTAATAAAACATCAATTGATGTTCAGTGTGAAAGTTGTGAATTTGCAAAACATAAGCGCACATCCTTTCCAAATTCCAAGAAACCAACGAACCATTTGCTATGATCCACGGTGACTTATGGAGACCTTTCCGCAATCATAATTGTACCCAAACTAAGTGGTTTGTCACATTTATAGACCACCACACTCGAGTATATTAGCTCTATCTACTGAAAGAAAAAATCAATGTTCAAGCGGTATTCATAAATTTCCCACTCTATGATTCAAATCCAATTTCAAACAGCTTCAAATTCCATGCACTGACAATCATATTGAATACTTCAATACTACTTTGCAAGACTATCTTAGCAAACATAGGATAATCCACCAAAGCTCATGTGTTAACACTCCTCAACAAAATGGAATTGTTGAACGAAAAAATAGACACCTATTAAAAGTTGCCCGTGCTTTAATATTCACTACAAATATGCCAAAAAAACCCTGCGGAGATGCCATTCTTACATCTACGTACCTCATCAATCGAATGCCTAGTTGTGCTCTCTATTTCGACTCACCTATCCAAACACTCCAAAACTTCTTTCCCACTTCCCACCTAAGCTCAAATGTATCCCTGAATGTGTTTGAAAGTACAGCCTTTGTACAAGTTCACTCCCAACATCAGAATAATCTGGATCCATGAGCAATCAAATGTATGTTTATTGGATACTCACCAACTCAAAAAGGTTACAAATGCTATAACATATCCAATAAAATGGTATTTGTTAGCCTCAATATCACCTTCTTCGAAACTACGCCTTACTTTCAAAGGCCTTCTCTTTAGGGGGAGAATTTCAATAAAGATCGGTCTCCAAATTCAAAATTCTTAGACTTTGATCTTTTCCTGTTTGACCTAACTCATACAAAACCTATCACCCTACATTCTGATGTGCCATATACAAAAGAAAATTTGAACTCAAGTGGGAGCTGATGGAAAACAATATGATAAGAAGATACTATTTGTTTACTCAAGAAAACCCAAATCAAAGTATAAGGAAACTTTCACATCTGAGGCACCAAGAGAATTAGAACCGATGATAGGAGTTTATGAGAATCCCTCCGATGAATCTCCAAATCATGATCTACCTATTGCTATTTGGAAAAAAATCGATCATGTACTCTTTACCCTATTTCAAAATTCATATCTTATAATGCACTATCTACAGGGTTTCGTAAGCCATTGTTTGAGCCCCATTTTGGAGAATAAATACATTTTTTAAATAGTGTATTGATGAAAAATATGTGGTTAAAAAATAAGGAAAATTTTGGAATTTGAGTGTAATATTATTTTATTGAAGAATGTGTAGTTAAAATGATGTCAAAACACTGTTTAAAAATGCATTTTTCCAAATAATGGGACTCAAACAAGGGCTTAATGTAAAGCACAAGCCAGATGGGTTAATAGAACGCTATAAAGTTCGTCTTATTTGCCAAAGGGTACACACAAACCTATGTCATCGACTACAAATAAACATTCACACCAATAACAAAACTTAATACCGTTCAAATTCTCCTAACATTAGCAGTGAATCTATACTGGCCGCTTCAACAGCTACATATTAAAAATGTATTTCTTAATGAGGAACTAGAAGAAGAGATCTTCATAACAATACCACCAGGCTTCAATAACAAAAATGACGAGAATCAAGTGTGTAAACTCAACAAATATCTGTATGGACTCAAACAGTCATCCAAAGCATGATTTGGTATATTTAAAAAAGTATTAAAAAGTTAAGTATACCAACAAGGGCAGACAAGTCATACCATATTCTTTCAATAATCTTAGGATGGTGCAAAGACCATCCTAATTGTGTATGTAGATGATATCATCTTAATGGAGAACAACATGACTAAGATAGAATGACTAAAGAGTTGCTTAACAACTGAATTTGAGGTAAAAGACTTTTGGGATGGAGGTTGCAAGATCAAAGAAGAGTGTTAGTGTGTCCTAATGGAAGTATATTCTTGATCTTTTGACCGAAACTAGAATGCTGGTTGCAAACCAAACGACACACCGATTGATGCTGGTAAATTATCAAAAGACACAGGAGACTCAATGGAAACAGATATATATATCAAAGACTAGTTGGAAATTTAATCTATCTCTCACATACGAGACCTAATATAGCTTTCGCAGTCAACATGATAAATCAACATATGCATGTCCCCAAAGAAGTTCATTTGGAAGCAGTATATAAAATCCTCAAATATTTAAAAGGCACATCTGGCAAAGGACTATTCTTCGAGAAAAATAAACGAAAATGAGTAAAAATATTCACTAATATAGACAAGGCTGAATCAATAGAAGACAGGAGGTCTGCTATAGGCTATTGTAAGTTTATATGAGGAAACTTGGTAACTTGGAGAATTAAGAAAAAGAATGTAGTGGAGAGAAACAGTGCGGAAACTGAATTTAGAGCAATTACACCAAAATTATGGATAAAGAAACTCCTGGAAGAACTAAAAGTCGAATGAAAATCCCAATCAAACTTTATTATGACAACAAAGCAACGATCAATATTTCCTTCAATCCAGTACAACATGATAGAACCAAGCATGTAGAAGTGGATAGACATTTTATCAAGGAGAAGGTAGACGATTTGTACGACATGTTCCAACAAAAGACAAACGGAAAATATTTTCACCAAAGGATTATCTAGAAAAATCTTTGACGACCTCAACCGCAAGTTGGACTTGGTCAACATCTACAGTTCAACTTGAGGGGGAGTGTAGAAAACAACCGAGCATGGCAAGTATATTATGAGAGGGAAATTGTAATTTAGTTAAAGACTGAAATTTTTCAATAACCAGTAGGTTAATTTTATTTCCTTACTTAGAAGATTGGTTTTCCTTTTTCTTTCCATCTTTTGTAATATAAATAGGTTGCTTATGGGCTGTTATTCATCATCAATATACGAAAATTTATTCTGGTTTTCTCTACAATAATACAGACCCTCTCAATTCCAACAGGGTATTTGCAACTATAATTCATACTAATGATAAGAATAAACCATATACATTCGTGTTGCTAAAATGTACAACTTCTTCCTGATTATTTTTAGGACTACATAGTACCAAAATATCAGTAGAAATAACTTTCTACAAGGGGAATTAGATAGTTTACAATGAAAAAATTTCAATTATATAATTATACATAAAAAATTTCTCACTTTTGTTTTTGTTTTTTGTCCCCCCAAATTTTAATCATCCCCAGCATAATTTCTTAAATGTGACTCTACTAAAAATGTTATCTGCCTGCAATCTCATTACATTGCTCCATTTTTATAAATTTAGCTTATCAACTTTGTAAGAGTATTGAATCTAGTGCAAAATCCATGGTGAAAATTCATCCCAAATAAGCTGTTAATATCCAAAAACCTACGAGAAGATATACCTCTTGTTGGGGCGGAGAAAGTGATCCCTTTAATGCTTTTGCGATTAGATCTCTAACTGCAGCTCCTTTGCTAGTGTCAAGGCACATTCCATAGTCCCATAAAAGCTCATGGTTGATATCTGGGTTGAGCCACAATAGCTGTGCAAAAGCAGGATAAATTTATTCAAACAAATAAATTCTGCAACCTAGACAGCGATTGTCAGTTGGCAAATGATCGCGAGTAGTTGAATGTCCTTACTTCTCCATTCATTATTGGGAGCCTCGGTGGGATAGGCCTGATCCATTGAGGACCTAATCCCTCTAATGAAAGAGACGACAGCAATCCAGCTACAGTTTCATCTCTATCCCCAGATCCAATTTTAGGTTTAAGCCCAGGATGCATGTCAAACCTGAAATTTAACCCCCCATACCAACATAACGGATTGTAGATAAAGGAGAAACAGCAGGAATAGGAAAAACCTCACAAAATAACTAGCAGTAGTCATACTCAGGTGAATCACTATCACATCTGTGGGGCACATCAGGGTGGGGTATCACATTTTTCACACCGTTGTCCTTGAACAAACTCTTGAATGGTTCTGGCTGAGTTGTGCCACAATATTGCTGTTGCAACTGATCTCGTTGCACAAATGACTGGAAGTTCATAACAGGAAAATTTATCAAAATGAAGAATATATGGCAGTAAAAAAGAACTCATACAGTGATCACAGATATGAAGAAAACATGAAAACAAGTTTAGTCTAGTATCATGGATGTCACCAGCATCATAGTCCTGCTGATGTGAACCAGCAAGTTGCAAGCAAAAGCTATTGGCACAGAATGGAAGATACAACATGTGATAGCTTACATGTGATGAAAGGTCAAAATTTTTCATGTAATCTGATGCTGACTGCTTGAGAAGCTGCACGAAACAAGCCCCCATCAGTTGTAGTCATGACTGCCGAAAAACAATAGGTAAGGAAAAGAAGGAAATGGACACCATGGAAATTCAATGCTACCATTTTGCACCGCATTTTAGGCGATAGTTGAACAAATGGGTGTTTCACGTAACTTTTCAATTTTACCCTCAAAACAATGCCAACAGTGCCTGTTAATTGCATCACGTAAACGTATTTTGTGGACATAAATAACTATTTTAGGAAGAAATAATTATTTATGGACAACCTATAATGGAAATATAGTAGAAGCAACCATTTGTAAACAGGGAGTATCTTTATGTTATGATCTGTTATGATTACAGGTAAAAATACAATACCAATATGAATATTTTAAACAAATTAATGTCCCCAGGCCAAGGGAGTATCTATATGTTATGATTAGAGGTAAAAATAAAATAGCAATATGAATATTTTAAACAATTGCTAGACAATAGAAACTAAAAAACACATATCCTATAAGAACCAGAATTAATGAATAGTGACATACGAGCAAAAATAAAACAGGATGTTTTCACCACCTAGTGAAAATACATTATTGGTTAAAATCTTAAAAAGATGTAAACCAATAAGAACCAACATATATAAATCAAGAAACAGTAGACAGACCTCTCCACTACTTTTAGAGCTGGACAAGCCTAACAATTGGAGAATAAATGCCCTTTCATATTTTTCAGCTTCCTCATCAGATGCTGCCTGCAATGGACATAAATTTAAAGGCAAAACTACATAGATGCTTAGAAATCGATCTCACTGACCGAATGATGATTAATATAAATTACAGTACTTGAACAATTCAGGTAGGTAGATAAGCTTTTTCTTAAAAAATATAAAAAAGAATAAAATAACTGTGAAGTTTTAAAAAGTGAGGCAAATGAATTGATCAGAAAAATTAAGTCTCAACTGCGCCCAACCTGAAAGTAAATTCTGCTACCAAATTGTTAGAATAACATGTGCATGCGTTGTAAATTGAATAATATGTTGAACAAAAAGGTATGAGTAAATAAGGTTACTAATTCTCTCTTTTCCCATGTCATTACCTGAAGGTATCGTCTAGCTGTAAACACCAAAATTCCAGAACTAGGAAACAAGCATGAGATATTAGTTGAGTTGGACAAAAGGATAAGGCTGAGCAGAACAAAGAAGGTTTCCCCATAAAAGTATTGGTCATACATCTTGTATTATGAATATGTGATTGCTTGACTTTCTGTACAGTGTTCACATTACGATTATTCGTTTTTGATGAAAAAAGCAAATTGGTTACTAGTTATCCACCAAATGCTCCCTCCTCTCTCTAACCTTCAGTCGTCTTTCCATAGGGAAAATCTTAATTTTGTTGCACAACCACTACACAAGCTGCCAGATCTGGCAATTTCCACCAATCCTCATGGTGCCGTCACCATGGAATCACACTCTAATCCTGCAACTGCCACCACTAAGGATACAGCTTGGTCCAAATCATTCGCCTTAGTGGTTATGGAAAGTCAAAGACAACATTCAATTGTACCAAGTGCAATGTGGTAAAATCCATAAAATTAATTTCTTCATCCTTGTTTCATGGGTCAGACTGTCCTAGAAATATATATATATATTTGCGAAAAAGACCATATTGTGTTCCCACATGTTTACATTGACAAATTATAATAAAAAAAAATGAAGAAACGCAAATTATAATCTAATATAGCACCTCCAGAAGTAAATGAATTTATGCAATCCACTTACATCCACAAGCTTTGAAATGAAAGGATTTGAAGAAGGCAGTTGGGACGCATATGCCTGGTGAATAATTGAAAAAGCAATCAACCGCTCAGTTGGCTTGAGGATTTTTTCCTGCAATAAAATAATGTAGAACTTTACGCAAATTACAAATTCGTTGCAACGTATACTGTTTCACACTGGTAATAGAAAACAGTAACATATTGACAAACTTTTGGTAATGAAGAGCTTAAAAGACACTAAAAAAGTAGGAAGCAGAACTAACATGTGTGTGCCCAAATTCTGTGTGGCAAAAACGAACTATTTAAATGCTATTTTATTCAAACAATTGAGAAAATATTCATTCATTTTTCTCAGAACATAATAAATGAAGATTTTTTAAAATGGTCCACTTTTAAAGGCCAATGTAAAAAATAGTTCTTTATAAAAGAACAATTTTACTTTATATTGTTATGGCTACTGAGTTACCAAGCTTTAGCCAGATACAACGTAGCATTATTACAAGACAAGAAAATTACAGTCATTTACAAAACCCTTTTAAGCTCTTCTGATACAATCTTCCTGTTGACCCTCTATAAAAATCGTAATCAGGGTCAAGAATTGGTTGACATATTGCAACGATTAAGAATTTCAGACTCAAAAAGTTTACCAGAGTTGAAGAAAATGTTTTAGAATATAAGGAATCATTCAGAAGAGTTCTAAACACTTTGGCCATTTTTCCTTTTCTCTCTGTAGATTGATCCTTCTTAAAAGCTACTAATAAGTTGTATCAAAATTGTATCTAAGGTGATGCGTCTTAAATATGGACACGTCCAAAGTTTGCAAACCACAAAGCTACATTCACCCATATATTCACAAGCTCACTTGCAATGAGTTTGTTTCAATTTGAGATAATAAAGTTTAAGCAAACTGATGAAACACAATGAAATACACCTTAAGGTTCACAAAATCAAAACCCTCGAGTCTAATTGGTTTTTCCGAAAAAACAGAACAGCATTCAGTACAAAGTGATCAAGTACAAAAAAAAAACATAAAATAAAAATAAAAAATATCGAATAGTTATACCATTACTTCAATAGAAATTCTTAGCCAATCATATAAAAACGACAGAATTGACGCGAAACGAAAAGTAGTAATAATAAGAAAAAAGCCCTAATGTAAAGAGGGAGAAGTGCCTTAGGGTCTAAGAGTAACTCGAGAGCGGAGCAAGCATAGAAGCGGAGAGAAGGAGAGAATATAGTGTTGAAATCAGACACGATCTCTTCAATAGTCCTTTCTTCTCCGCCATGGAGCAGCTTCAAAAGCTTCCCAGAGTTCTCGAACCCAAGCATCGCCTCGTCTCTCTTACTCTGTTTTGTTTTTATTTTCTTTTCTTTTCTGTAGGATGAATGAGAAGAAAAACAAAGGTATTTACAAAATGAACGAAAATGGGAAGAGGAATTGAATAAACGGCCAATCAAGTTTTTAACCAAATAGTCCTACTCATAAATTTGAATTACTTATTTGAAAAATAGTTGTGATATTTAATTTAAGTCAATTCAACACTCACTATGTATTTCGTTAAGATAGTGAGAGATTTGTAATAACAACTTGAGATTCATAAGATAAAGATTATTGTATTGACTTAAATTAAAGATCATGATTATTTATCAAATAAGTATATCAAAATGACTTCTGCGTTACAGGTGTACGGTGCAACTTCATGTCATCTATAGTATTTTTTTTTCCAATCATAGATCAAAATGGCAAGGGGTCAAATTAAAATATCTTAAATTTTTTGTCCTATTTATATAAATTTTAATACTGATGTTTTATTTTATATACAGTTTAAGCCCCCGTTTGGCTCCCAATTTTTTGAAATAAAAATAGGTGAAATAGTATTTTTTTGAAAAATGAGTGGTTGAAAAAAAAAGGAAATTTTTTTCGATTTACATGTAATATTTTTTATGGAAGATTGTGTGTTTGAAATTAGGAGAGAGAAAAATGAACGTAATTTAACGAGGAGCTAAAATTAATAAGAATCAAGGCGAAGATCATGTTTTTCATCTCGCATCATTTTTGGGTATTTTGCCATTCCTAGCCCCAACCTACGTTGATGTTGTCAAAGCTAAGATGTTCATTATTTTAAAAAGTCAACTCTTAAAATTATGTTTCAAGATATTCTTTAAATTAATATTTTAATTTAGAGAGTAAGTTTGACTTTTCAAATTTTGTGAGCCAAATCCACTCTTTATAATTAAATGCATTAAAAATGTTTTAATTTTTAATGTAGGAAAATAATGAAATAATTTACAAAAAAGTTAGTTAAAATAAAATATAGAGAAAAATAATAACTATTTTTTTTAGAGTGATAAAATTAAATATTAAATATAAAGAATTTGTTGAAGTACTTTAAAATTTTAACTCTATAAATTTATAAATACTCTCCAAATGATAAAATATACTTTTTAAAAATGGATATTCTTAAAAGGTAAAAATCTCGTGAAATGCATGAAATATAATTTTATTTAAAATTCTTTAAAGTTCAATAGAAATATAAAATAATAATGGACTAAATATGTAAAAATTAATAATATATGGAACTTGTAATTTGACAATTTCTTAGTTTTTCAATTTAGCTCTTTCCCAAAATGCATCTAAGCTCTTTTTTATTTTTTATTTATTTTTTAATAAATCAAACTCAATAGCATTCCTAATTTTTGCAACACAAACATCACATTTCATTTTTTCTATCATTTTATACAAAATAATTATTGAAAGTTAACTTTACAAGAGAAACAATTTTTATAACATAGCTATTGTTGGATAATGATCATTATCAAATACGCATATTTGGTATCTTCAAATAATCTCTTCATCATCGGTAGGCAATTCCATTACAATATCAATTTCATTAACATAATTCAACAGGTTTTGGGTAACCATTCCATTTTTATAACACTACTAAAAAATAGTTTTTTCACCTACGGAAAATTTTTAACGGATCGCATCCGTTGGTGATTAGAAACGGATTATCCGTTGGTAAAAGTAATTCACTTTTAGCTACAATAATTAGCAACGGATTTTTCGTTGATAAAGATGATATCTCTTTATCAACCGACATTCTGTGCCTAATATAATCGTTTAACATTTGGATCTTCCTCCAACGGATATTCCATAGGTGATGTACCGAATATTACCAACGGATCCGTCGGTAATTAGAAACAAATTATCCGTTGGTAAAAGTAATTCACTTTTAGCTACAATAATCAGTAACGATTTTTTCGTTGGTAAAGAGCATATCTCTTTACCAACGAATATTCCGTGCCTAATATAACTGTTTAATATTTTGATCTTTTACCTACGGATATTCCATTGGTAATTAGAAACGAATTATCCGTTAGTAAAAATGATATCTCTTTACCAACGGATATTCCGTGCCTAATATAACCATTTAACATTTTGATCTTTCAGCAACGGATATTCCGTTGGTAAAAATAATTCACTTATCCCACATCGGAAGTTTACAACAATATCTTTGTAGTTGCTCTCTATAAATTTGTGATCTAATAAAGAGTTACACAATATTTTGGCCTTTCAATTTAGTTGGCTAAAAATAAAAAAATATTATAATTATTAAATAAATAAATTAATAATAATAATAATAATAAATAACATTTTTATTATACGGTTATTTACAACATTGATTTTTACCAATTGTAATGGTAGACATTTACCAACGAAAAGTCGGTTGGTATTGGTTAAGACTTTTACCAACGAAAATTTCGTTGGTAAAAGATTCACACTTTACCAACGAAAAATTCGTTGGTAAAATGTTTATTTTTTATCTACGGCATGATCCGTTGGTAACTATCAGCGACCCTCAAATTATTAACGGATTTGTGGTTGCAAATATTTCGTTGGTGTAGATTATTAGCAACGGATATTGAAACTTTAGGAACGGAAAATCCGTGCCTGAAATTCTGTTTTTTAGTAGTGTAACATGCATTACCAATGGTCTCACATAATCCATGGATATCATTCTCACCAACTCATAGATTAAGTTAGTTTGGCTTAGACCTATTAAACATGGGCCTAGCCAAGTTGAGCTCGAGCCACTTATGAGCTTTTATTTTATATTTTTCATAAATTTCAAATATAAAAATAAAAAATTAAATATAATAGAAAGAATCATCATCAGTTTTTAGGTTTGATGGAGTTGAAATTGTATTCCAATAAATTTTTAAGTGTATTGTAAAATTATGAGATAATTATTGACAAATATTTAATCTAATGAGAATACTTATGGCCTCATTTGATTCCTATTTTTTCAAGAATGAGAATGAAAAATATAGTCGTTACGAAATCCACACAAGAGATAGAAAGTCAAATATGGTGACTTGATTTAATAGATAACGGTCATATTTTTCATTTTTATGACCAAAGAATGAGAATCAAATGAGGGCACATAAGTCATATATATTCTGATTGTATCTCTCATTTTGTACACTATAAATATAGAAAACTTGGTTCTCAACAAAATTTATATTTGAATTTTGATTTTCTCTATTTTTTTCTCTTATATTTATCTCATGCTCCTTTTACTTTTATAGCATGTTATCAACATGAAGAAGTTCACCCAAAATAGAGAGAAAATTCAAAATCAATAGTACAGAAAATTCGTAGAAGAAGCTCACCCAAAATAGAGAGAAAATTCAAAATCAATAGTACAAAAAATTTGTAGAATTTGGATAGCTTGGAGTAGTTGTAATTAAAAGTTGTAGACAGTAACCCATGGTAAAATCGTCATGAATTGTGAACAGACGATTAATATCAAGATCTAAAACTTTATTCGTGAGAAACTGCTATGCCAACAACAATGAATATTGAATTGATTGGAAGATCGTGAATGTTTTTTACAACAAATTTTTTTAGATTTGTTTTTTTAAAGAATTTGATAACACTCAAAATTATTTAAACCTATTTCAATTCTTAAATATAGTGGCGTTACTCTTAAATAAGAACGACCTTATGTTCATTCAATATTTCATAAGAATATTGTATTATTTTACATGAAGCTGACAAATTTTGATTTTTAAAATATTATATTTCTCTAAAAGAAGAACGAATTTGTAATATCAATATTCCAAAAGAATATTGTATTGTTTAGCTCGAAAAGTAAAACCAATTGTAAATACAATATTTTTAGAAAAATATTGTATTATTTATAAATAAACTAAAATTTATTACTTTCAAAGAGTATATTTCGTTGTTCCTAAGATTACAACTGAACACAAAGAAAAGTATATTATTGTTCCAAAAGAAAGACAACCTAACTGCATAAATACTCAAGAAGAATATTATTTTGATATTTTTGAATAAATCAAAATTTTATACTAATCAATATTCTTATCGAGTTTTAACTTTATATAAAAGTTTGAGTCTAGTAAATATGTTAATACTTCTGGAGAAGCATAATTTATATACAAATAATCTGTTATTCTAGAATATTTGGTTATTTCAAAGAATGATTTATATATATTAATACTCCAGAATAATATTTTGTTATTTATAAATAATTATGAAATTTTACATACTATTAAAAATATTGTTTAGTCATTCGCAAATGAATTTAAAAAAAAAAATCACGGCATTGCTTTCGAAGAAATATGATTCTACATGTACTTATATTCTCGAAATATATTATAATGGTGCTTTCGAAGAAACACTCTTCTCAAAAATTATGGTATCATTTAAATTGAGTCTATGTGTGGCTTCACTTTTCCAAGAACACATTTTTTCAAAACTCATTTTCAATAACACATTCTCCGATAAAATAGTTTTATCATAAATTCAAATTTTTTCCTTATTTTTTAATCACATATTCTTCAAAAATTAACTATTCAATAATATATTTTTCCAAAAAATGGGGCTCAAATAGGGGCTGAATATTGTTACGAAATTAAAGTTTGTTTATTCAAAAATTTTTATGATTTGATGTAGTCTTTAGATCATAAAACTTGTGTAACGTACTTGTAGTACATAAAAGCATCTAACTAAACTTATCGTGACTCACTGAAAAGAAAATACGAGAATGATGAAAATCAATACAACATAATATTAAATTTTGCAAATCTGACTATAAAGCTCTAGAAGTGAATATTATATTATTCACTTTCTATGAATTTTTACTATACAAGTATTAGTAAACAAACAATACATTCAACCTAAAGTTCAATAACTATAAGATTTTATTATTTGGCATATCTAATAAAACCATCATAGGTCAATAATAATGCAAAATCAGAATTCAAATGGACGTTTAATGAAGAGTCATGAGATTGTTCAATTCATTGAATTCATGTATGATATTTGTTTTCTTTAATGTACATTGGTTATTAATCATCACTAAATAAAATAGGGACTGAATTCTCTACAAAAGTGTGAGATATAGT